GGTGGTTGCTAGTTCGTGGGTATAGCTGGTGTGATCGGGATACGAATGGGGCTGGACATTTTTGTTGTTTATTTGTTTACCGGTCCACTCCGTACATACTCCTGGGCATCATGATCTTTTCCTGTCTCCCGCTGAGCATCAGGTTGTTAAAATTTTTCACTTTTTGCCAGTGGACGAAGGCTGAGTGCCATGGCTGAGGCACTCATTTGCTGGAGCGAAGGGAGACAGGCGAGCCCCAGCTTCTCCCTCTGGAGTACCCCTCGGCGACTTCCTAGCTGGCGAGCGTTTGTTGTTGGCAAAAATGCTGTTGCAAGCGTCACCTCAGAGTGTTTCCTCCGATGCGCTGTGGATGAGGTGAGGGTCAGTGCGGGCATCTGTTTCTGCCCCACTTCGCCTAGGCACCCTTCATATCCGAGTTGTCAGTCTGATCTGCGAAACTGAGATCCGGGAATGTTACGATAATCGGACAACGCGTGACTTCTTGTTGTTCCTTTTTTTTTGAAGTATTTGAGTATCGCTGTGTTTCTGGATTTACACTTGCTATTCTCTGATTGTTGCGTTAGGTGAAAGGATTGTATTACACTGCGTTCAATTTTTATGCGTTTTGTGCTGTGTAACAGCAGTACAAAATGCATATTGTCACGGGGTTGTCTGTATGTGTGTTTGTGTACATGTATGTGTGTGTGTCTCCAGCAACTTGTCTGCAACTTCCAACTCAGGAATCACAAAGGCTAGGAAGCTAAAAATTTAGGGGAACGTCCCCCACGCAAATTTAAATTTGGCCCCCCGTACCCGCGAATAACACGCACGGCTTCGTAAAAGTTTGGGAGGGCAAAATTATTATCACGGGAACCACGGTAACTAGAACGCTGAAATTTTGTGGGCATTTCCCCTGTCCACATACGACCCAGAAAATTTAAATTCGGCCTTCTTTTGCCCGCGAGTAACACGAACGACCACGTGAAAATTTTGGCGGGTAAATTATTATCTCGGGAACCACAAAATCCACGAAGCTAAAATTTCAGGGTAATGACCCTCTGCCCACGTACGACCTTGCAAATTTAAGTTCAGCATTCCCGCGCTCTCGGGTGTCACCCATGGCCCCATGAAAATTTCAGCAGGTAAACTATAATCTCGAGAACCACAAAATCTACGAAGCTAAAGTTTTGGGGTACTGATCCCATTTCCACGTACGACTTGCAAACTCAAATCCAGTGTCCCCGTACTCTCGA